GGCAGCTAGTCATCACCACCCACCGCCAACTCTTGGGCTACTTTTTTACCTAACGAATAGTGGGATTGGCCGTCACGTTTTAACGCCCCCACGGCTGAAAGGGCGAGCATGTTTGGTGTGACGGGGATTCGAGCCCACTACCCTTGGATTGCGAGTCGAGCGCCCTAACCACCTGGCCATGCCGGGCCACCCGCTATGGAAAGAGTCTAAATAGCCCATTCTACAACTTTGTACTAAAGCAACAAACAAATTTGACATTCGTGTCCCCCAGTGAGTTAGCAAGAAGCTCACGAAACAACGCTAAAATCCTAGGTTTGATTCCCGCTATAGGCAAAGCGCAAGTAGCTCATTGTGCAGCTTTGGTCTAAGACAAAAAACATGATTTCTGGTCTCACGATGGATTACTTTCTGGAAAAGTCAACCTGTAGACGGGAAGTCCTGCAAATGTTTGACGGATGATGTGTAAATAATCGTAATTAAATGTTTGATGGATGATGTGTGAATAATCGTAATTAAATGTTTGACGGGTGATGTGTGAATAATCGTAATTAAATGTTTGATGGATGATGTGTGAATAATCGTAATTAAATGTTTGATGGATGATGTGTGAATAGTCGTAATTAAATGTTTGACGGATGATGTGTGAATAATCGTAATTAAATGTTTGACGGATGATGTGTGAATAATTGTAATTAAATGTTTGACGGGTGATGTGTGAATAATCGTAATTAAATATTTGACGGATGATGTGTGAATAATCGTAATTAAATGTTTGACGGATGATGTGTGAATAATCGTAATTAAATGTTTGATGGATGATGTGTGAAAAATCGTAATTTTACCATAACTTTATAACTTTACTTTCACATAACAATCGCTCACAAACTCTGTCAGTAAAGTGGGGGTCTTGAAGTTTTTATTATACCATAAACTCATACTCCAATGTGTTCTTAGGACTAATGTCTTACTTAATTACAAGCATTTGCATTTTTGTATTAATTATTACAGAAACTGTTGTTAGTCAAAAACGAAAAAGAAAATCCACCTTCCCATAGAATGAGTTTTTTTTAAAATCCCGTCTCCCATAGAATGAGTTTTTTTTTAAATCCCGTCTCCCATAGAATGAGTTGTTGTTGTTTTTTGTAAAATCCCGTCTCCCATAGAATGAGTTTTTTTTAAATCCCGTCTCCCATAGAATCAGTTTTTTAGAACAATTAATTCAAAGCACATCTGAAATGATAATAAATAAATATAAAATATATTAATGAATAAATTAATGTAGTTAGTCCTTTTCTGAAATAACTTGAGTTGCGGTAAAAATCTCGTGTTTTTTCTTTTTCAGTTTCCATCACAAGAACAGTCCTCGTAGAAAGTTGAGATCGGACATCAATGTCTTCTTCAACGAACTCTACAGTGACAAATATTGGTTTGGAATGGACGTCGGAGGACAATTCTTCTTCTGGCTCTCAAGATTCTGTCATGTTAGTTCCATACTCTGTTTCTGCTTTCGTTGCCCTTTTAGTTCTGCTTAGTTTCATGATTGTGGCCACGGCCATTGGAAATGCTTTGGTTTGTATCTCAGTTTACTTGGTAAAGAAGTTGCGACAACCGTCTAACTTCCTGCTGGTTTCGTTGGCGGTTTCAGATCTGTGTGTATCTCTCCTCGTCATGCCTTTTGCCCTTCATTATGAGTTAACGGGCAGCTGGAACCTTGGTCCTGAAGTTTGTGATATGTGGGTGGCCTTTGACGTCACCAGCTGCACAGCCTCCATCTTGAACCTATGTATGATTAGTGTGGATCGCTATCTGGCTATAACCAAACCACTCACGTACGGGGTCCGCAGGACTTCCCGCAGGATCTGTCTCTGTATTGCTGCTGTGTGGGTGTTGTCGTGCCTCATCAGTGTACCACCTCTAATAGTTCTGGGTAACGAGCACGGTACTCCAGCAGAACCGACTTGTGAAGTGAGCCAGAATTTTGGCTATCAGCTGTACGCCACTCTTGGCTCCTTCTACATTCCCCTAATGGTAATGATATTCGTTTACCTGAAAATTTACGTTGCAGCTAAGCGCGTAGTAGAAGCAGAGCATAAATCGCTCGTGTACGCTCAGCGTAATGCTTGTAGAAATGAAAATGGCTACTGTCAGTCACAAGGACCGCTACTCATTCAAAAGGTCTCTTCCGTATCTACTGTCACAGAAAAGAATCTTCTCTCTGGCTCTAATACACAAGATCCTTCCCAGAATACCACTGGGAACCTCGTGGGCGTTGGAGACCTCCCGAGGAGTCAGCCCCAAAATAAATCATCCATGTGGAAGGAGAGAAAAGCTTCAATTACTTTGGGCATCATCATGTCTGCTTTCACCGTTTGTTGGCTACCGTTCTTCGTGCTAACTCTCCTCCGAGCCGTTGATGAAGACATGTTCAGTGTTTCTCCCTCGGTTCGAAGTCTGGTCCTCTGGCTTGGATACATTAACTCCATGATGAACCCGATCATCTACGTCACCTTCCATCATGACTTTCGGCGAACATTCAAGGAAATCCTATGCCTTCGATGTACTACCGTCAACGCCACCATGAGGCAAGAAAGTGCATTCGTCTATTACGCTACAGACTGTGTTGTTCGACATCCACAGAAAAAAAGTTTCGAAATGGTTCCAGAACCTCTGATACCCATCTCAGTCGTTCCAAAGAAGAGCGGAGTGACTTATAACTCTCATGAGTCATTCGTATGATAAGAGCTTTGTCTTCTGCTAATTCAATTCCTAATTATACTCCTTGTGGGCTCGGTACTGTATCGAGTTATTATCAGCTTCACTTAGAATTGAATTCGTGCAGAAGGATCGCAATTCCCAGTTAGTAACTGAATGTTTTCGACGTGCTGCTATCAAGCACAGTGAGACCTCCTTATTTATCATACCAAAAGCTTTAACACCAAGAGCTGAACATACGTTTCTGGACTTAACCTCCCACAATCTGAGGGTCGCGGGTTCGAATCCGCATCCCACCAAACATGCTAGCCCTTTCAGCCGTT